GTTGAGCTATAGGCGCCGAGCCCCAAAAATAATTCTTTAAAGAATCCAAATGTTAGAAAGAGTTATTATATTTTGCTAAGTTTAGTGTACTCCTGTAATTTAGTGCATACCCACATTTTTGGCCCAAACTTTCAGAAAAGAAACTTTAGTTTTAATTTTTTAATTCCAATTTTTATTTGTTTATATTTAGACACTTGTTTATGTACTATGAAATAATTTTATCATTTTTTTAACATATTATGGTACAAGAAATTTTATGTACTGGTAATTCTTTGTCACTATTAATATAAACATCAGAAGTATCATCTTCTGATATTTATGTCTACATTACTGGTGTCCTCTGAAGAGTCACATTCCTCATCCCAGTAAATTTCATGGTCCTCAGTTCCATCACAGCATTGCTGATACTGCTGATTCCACAACCATTTCCTTCTTGACACTATTCCACAATTGTGGGATCCAATCACAAACCCGGGGGATGGATGCTTTCTTGATTCTGCTGGTAGGTGTTAAATTATTACCAGTTGTTTACATCTACAGTGTCCATTCTTTCCTCATTAAGGCCTATAATGAAGGCCATAAGAGCTTGTTTACTGACACATTAAGAGGTAGAAGTTGGCTGGGCTAACTGTGCTACTGAAGCGAGCACCATGTCCACTAGTTTTAACCACCATGGTCTTTGTTCCTTTGATATCCATAATTCTGGAGGATGCACATCAAACGTGAGTGCAACTTCATCCATATGGGTGATCTGGGACAGCTCAAAGTTGTCTTTCAAAGATTAATATAAGAATGAAAACTTCAAAACTTGATTCTCATGGGCTACTAGAAGATTTGGGACAAGTTTTATTTGTGTCCTCCTGTTCAAACCTTCTCTCGTCATAAAGCTAAAGCACCATTTGGGTGGCACCTATGGCTCAGTGGGTATGGTACCGGCCCCATATACTGAGGATGGTGGGTTCGAACCCTGCCCTGGCCAGTTAAAACAGCAGTGGCAACTGCAACAAAAAATAGCTGGGCATTGTGGCAGGTGCCTGTTGTCCCAGCTACTTGGGAGGCTGAGGCAAAAGAATTGTGTAAGCCCAAGAGCTGGAGACTGCTGTGAGCTATGACACTACAGCACTCTACTGAGGGTGACAAAGTGAGACTCTGTCTCAAAAAGAAAAAAAAAAAGCACCATTTAGGTCTCTCTTAGAAATCACAAATGTTTTTTCTTTCTGCAATCCTTTTAACCTCTTCTTGTATCTTCTTGGTCGAAACAGAGATCCCAGTTTGATGCAGCTCCAGAACCCAGATCCTCACATCCAGCTGAATCTTTGGCCATTTTGGAGGTTTCCCTTCTTCTGTCTTGTTACCTGAAGAAGCTTTTCTTCCTGATGCTTCCACAATCTGTTGACACTCTCCATGGAAGGAGGTCCAAAGTGGCTCTGTTCCCATGCTCTTTAGCCTAAAGCTTGCAGTGTACTAAAAGCATTTTGAAATTTTCCAAAGGATTTCCCAGTAATTTTATAGCTAGATTGCTAGCTTCGTATGTTGCTCTTCTCTCTCTCTTTTTTTTTTTTTGAGACAGAGTGTCACTATGTCACCCTCAGTAGAGTGCCATGGTGTCACAACTCGCAGTAACCTCAAACTCTTGGGCTCAAGCAATTCTCTTGCCTCAGCTTCCCAAGTAGCTGGGACTACAGGCACCCACCACAACTCCCGACTATTTTTTGGACACAGTTGTCATTGCTGTTTTAGTTGGCTGGGACTGGGTTTGAACCTGCCACCCTTGGTATATGGGGCTGGTGCCCTACCCACTGAACCACAGGTACCTCCCAGAGATATGTTGCTCTTTATTGATCAAAAATGTGGCCAGGTGCAGTGGCTCATGCCTGTAATCCCAGAACTCT